TGCATTATTTAAAGCAAAAAAAAAAAGCATTTGATATAACATAATCTTATTTCTGGTTCTTGCTACAATTCCATTATAGAGATGTCATTTTTAAGAAATGTGTGTAACACACATAAAGTATATATACCTATATACAAAGTACACCGTTGCACTAGTACACCCGCACACACACTTGCCCACAAACATAGTCACTTAAAATGCTGTAATAATGTCTAGACATTTACTCAGACATAGTACAGTTGAATTTGCTCTCTATTGTAATTTATGGTCTACTTGCATTCTGTTTTTTTTTTATATACTACGCCCTACATTTCAACGTGTTTTTTTTTTATCTATATAATCATTAAAAAAACCCTGCGAACACATAACATCTCAATCTGATTTAACATTTTGGCCTTCTATCTTGGAGAGAGATTCAGCAAGCCATAAACACAAAAATAATGGCAAAAGAATAATGTTCAATATAGTAATTATTTTGTCCTCTTAAGATAGACTTGATACTCCAAGTTCATCTATACTTCAATATGTTAATGTATACCGCTATATATGTTAGTTTGGAGCTTTTGCAGTGAGCTTACATTATTTTCTATTCATAATATTTAAAGTTCTAAGAAAACAAGAAGGAAAATATGTCAGTGTCACCTTTCGTTGAAATCTGGGGGTGTAAGATTTCTGTGCTTCCTCTTCTGTACTGCGTTTTTGGCTGCCTACCATCTTCTTTAATGTGCTTCTCTTGCGCTTGTCTCTGCAACTACCACACTTTCCTTGAAGGAACCTTGAGTTGCTTTGAGCTGCGCAGTGAAATTCCCTCTTCTGGTATTCAAAAGACAACTGAGCAAAGGTCGTGCCAAGTGTTCTTGTATGACTGCTCCAAGGGAAGTTAAAGTCAGCTAAAAGTAATCTGCTGTGATAAAGCCATTTAGCAAAGGAAGTCCCAAATCTTGCTGTACTATTTTCCTCTTCCAAAGCATGTTCTGTTCTCCCCCGCCCCTTTTTCTTTTTCTTCCTGCAGAATTTAAATATTTGTTATGGGAGGCTCTAGAAAACAAATGCATTCTTGTTATGGCCAGAGATGAATGTCAGGATTGAATCAACATTTGTTAAAAAGGCTTTTGTTTGACCTGCACTGTCCCACACTGGAGCTATGACAACAATTTCAGCTTGATAAATTAACTGTGTCATTGTGTACTGGCTCAAATTATAGCATCACTTGAATGACAAACGCTCCACTGTCTGCATGACAACTGACAAAGCATATTGTTTTATTTTAACAACAACAAAAAATGTCCATTCAAGATACTGAACTATTTGAAGGAACAACAGCTGGGTATATATGAAATGCAGTACCACCTCTTACTCGAACTGAACAGTTTTGTGACATTGCTATTTTATATATATATATATATTTTCCATCATATCTTAAGAAAATGGAGTAATTTTGAATTTGAATCCCACATCACACTCAGCGATGTGATCCTTATCTTGGATACGTAATTTAAATAGCAATGGATACACTGGGGAAGGTATGTGTGCGCCAAGGGGAAGGCCGTGCGTAAGTCAGGCATTCTGCTTAGAGCTGCCAGCGTTTCTAAGGATGTGGGTATGCTGTAGTGAGGCTGACCTAGCAGGCAGTTACTGCTGGAAGGGGTAGGCTCATTCCCTTGGGAAGAGCTGTTCGGCTCCTGGAGGGGTTGTGGGCACAGGTCTGCCTCTTCTGGCACCAGCGAGCTGCTATGGCGTTTTTTTCTGGTCCCGTTTAAGGCTGCACAGTATAGTGTCAAGAACCAGGTAAATAAAAGAAGATGTAAGGATCAGCATCTCATAGTTTTTTATTTCTCACAATTACCAATACAAAGTAACCCTTGTGGAAAAGGAAAACGCTAGTTTCAGAATCACACACACGCACACAGAATCTCTCTTCTAGATGTTTGGAAATAAAGCAGTCATCATCTTCTGGCCAAACAGTACTAGCTAAGACAACACCTGTGATGATGGAGTCCTATTCGCTCTCCAGCAGTTCTGCAGTCAGGTGCTATCTGCCCTTGTAAGCAGGTACCCCATGCAGCGCTGCAGGCCTGCGGCAGTGGCTGGGGAGCTGTGTGGCAGAAAAGGACCTGGGAGGACTGGTTGGCAGCCAGCAGAACACAAGCCAGCAGTGGCCCAGGTGGCCAGGAAGGCCAACAGCCTCCTGGCTTGGGTCAGGAACAGCGTAGCCAGCAGGACCAGGGAAGCAATCGTCCCCCTGTGCTCGGCACTGGTGAGGCTGCACCATGAATGACGTGTTGGGCCGCTCACTGCAGGGAAGACCTGGAGGTGCCGTGTCCAAAGGAGGGCAGTGAAGCTGGTGAAGAGGCTGGAGCACAGACCTTATGAGGAGCAGCTGAGGGAGCTGGGGTTATTTAGTCTGGAGGAGGCTCAGGGGAGACCTTATCGCTCTCTACAACTACCTGAAAGGAGGCTGCAGTGAGGTGGGGGTCAGTCTCTTCTCCACAATAGCTACCAATAGGACAAGAAGAAATGGCCTCGAGTTGCACCAGGGCAGGTTCAGGTTAGACATTAGGAAGGATTTCCACACCGAAAGAGTGGTGAAGCATTGGACCAGACTCCCCAAGGAAGGGATGGAGTCACCGTCCCTGGCAGTGTTCAAGAAACATGTGGATGAAGCATTTAGGGACATGGCTTAACAGGCATTGGAGTGATGGGTTTACAGTTGGACTCGATGATCTCAAAGATCTTTTCCGACCAGAATCCTTCTATGATTCTAGGATTTTAAGGTGTGTGTCACAACCCTAAAGGTAATTAATCTATCCTCTAATGAGAAGCACTTTTCCGTAAGTTCTGCACATGAAAATGGTAAGCACCTTAGGTAGTGACTGATAGATAACCAATGTTATCTGAAAAAAGGCCCAAACTTCTCAGGGTTTCACAGATTTCTTAATTTAATAGGTGAACTATATATTTACACATAAATTATATGTATAGTTCATTTATATATTTTATCTATAGTCTAAACAATATAGTTAATTATATATTGTAATCATTATTTCTCTTTATATTTTAAGACAGGAGACTCTTACAGCTTCAGTTCTCTTAACTCAGGCTTGTAAACACTAAAACCCGTAATTTTCCCGCAGCACGAACCCTCGCTTCTCCCTTCGCCCTTGGCGCATGTGAGCGAAGGCGACTCCCCCTCCACCACCCA